GAGCATATATTGTTAGAGTCAGGCCTCTCATGGGATCTTGCACTCAAAGAAATCGATAAATAATATTCAAAAACTATTAGAACTGAATAATCTGTTCAGGTGTAATATTCAATAAAACTACCATATTCATCAACATTTTTTTTAAACGCATAACAAGTGTATACCAACCATAAAAAAATATCTGATTGTCAAACAGCAATAATATAAAAACTCTTATTTAAAACAACTGATGTAAGTTTTTCTTCCTTATTTTAAGTAGTATAATACCCAGAACCTTATTTCCATGAGGCAGTAAAAATTACAAATGTATCTTGAGCAGTTAGGATAATATTTCTCTATCTTGACATTCTGTGAAACTAATCACAATTTATTTGTTATATTATTTTTCCAGTTGACTACCTCTCTCCACCATGGAGGTCTATTCATGCAGTATTGGTTTCTATACATTGAATCCTGGAGTCTCTTATATACCTTAAAGAAACAATTTTATATTGCAAAGATAGTAATTTAATGATACACAAGACAAAAATCGAAGTGTAACATTCTAAAACTGTATAAATTTATATTAAAACTACTTCTTACCATTCCGTCTGATGATCCTAAAATGGAGTTGAGAATAAAATCTGGGACGGCAATGGCATCAATCAGAGCCACGGCATCATTTTTCAAGTCAAGACACAATTTTAAAATTGAATCTTGTATTAGACTCGAGGCCATTGGTCCCACTACAAATTCACCTTTGTATAGTGTCGGAAGGTGATACTTTTCCAAAGCCCATAATCCAAATAGAGAAAATAATTTTGTGAGCACATTCTTTATAGCAGGGTCCTCTGCTTTTGATATTGTCACCAGCATTCGCTGGAGGAAGAAATGCTGAAAAATATATAAAATTTAAACGATGCGACACATAATATTGGAATGAGTTTACAATAACAACAACTTTCACCACATTCAATAATTGTTTGTACTTTTCATTAACAACTCTGGAGCTGATTGAAAACTAATGATCAGAGATGTGAAAAACATTTCAAAGGAAGTGTTGTGTTAAAATTGGAATTATACGTGGAGAAGGAGGACCTATCTCATTTGAAAATTCGTTAAAGCAACGGCTACGAATTACATCCAGTCATGACTACCTCTCTTTCAATCTCAGATTCAAAATATTCAAATAATGACATATTTTCTAATCAAACCAGGTCATATGCATTTATATCAAAATAATGAAAATAAATTACATCATTTATTTGTTTTAGTTTCCAAATTTGAATTTTGTAATATATATACAAGTACATTATTTTCCGTTCAACCTATGACGATTTTTCGTTTATTTGTCCACTCAAATACCGGATTAGGCTTGACTTCACAGTAATCAATACACCTCCACCACGTTTTTTACAACCAGGTTATCTTCTAACATATCTGAATATACTATATTGCGTGAGCCTGAGTTCGCCACCAGAAATTTGGCTCTCTAACCAGGTTTCAGAGAGTAGTGTGGCAGCATAATTAGAACTACTCATAGCACACTGCAAATCTTTGAGTTTAGTTCAAATGCCGTCTGTATTACAGCAGAAGCATGATAGACTGTTATTGTTCGGGTGGTGGGTCTTCCTAGACTGTTCGGTTTTTTTGAGTTGTTTGAACTATTGAGGATATGCTGTTGATATATTTCATGGTAAGGTTCAAATAAGTATCAAATAAATACTTGAATTCTCTTGTATCTTTTTATCCCTATTATTTAAGAGAAGTAATCAAGGATCATTATGAATGATGTAGTTTCCACCCTCTGAAAATGTGGGACAAAACTGTCACTATTCAATTATGGAAGAATAAACTTACCTGTATGAAAGCAATAGAAAGATTTTTCGCATAAAAAACCTGGGTATCATTCTTAGCTGTAAACAAATCTTTTCCAGATTTTATTTCATCGTCCAGTTTATTAGCAGTTGATTTCAGTAAATAACAAACTAACCATTGGTATGTTGAAATGATTGCTAAAATAAAATATAAAATATGTTATGCATGTCGTTTGATAATTTATCAATACTTACTGTCTGGCTGACACGTTTCGTCAATATTTCGTGCACTGAACTTGCTATTCTTTAAAATATTTAATCCATTTGTAAGAAAGTCAGTTGATTTCATCGGACTAGAAATACTTTTCTGTTGTAAAACCAGTGGCCATAATTTGAGCAGCCAGTTACTCGTCTGTTGAACAAGAACGTGGTTTTCACCTTCGTATGTCAAATTTGCATCATGGTCATTTCTTATGTCTCCTATTCCACTAGCTGAAAAAATAAAGCATCAATAAATTTCAGTTTTTTATCACTATCATATATTCTGAATAAGAAAACAAAAAATCCTAACTAATTAAATATATGTAAATGAATCAGTCCTCTTGTCCAAAAAAAATCAAATTTCGTTAATTAGTTTATTTTGTATGCTGTAATAAAGGCCTACGTACCCCACCTATCCCCTATCAAGAAAGCATTGTAACGTTTGTTGAAGGTGGTTGGACAATGTTTCATGATGAATTTCATTAGTTCGGACTTACATTGTCTAATATGATTTGTAATCCCTAAAAGAATCAAGAAAATTGAAATGAATAGCTGAAAATAACAATTATATTGAGCAAAAAAACCCTGAAAAGAAATAACAATAAAATTAAAAAACAAGCAAAAAATTGAAAATTGAACAATTCAAATGAAATAAAAATTAACAATTCAAAAATTTCAATCCAAGTTATTTTACGATGACAATGACAATACAATTGTTTCCACAATTGTCATCATCCGAAGACGATTGTGAATACTAACAATCGAAACGACGATACAATTGTATTCACAATTGTCATCACAATTGTGGATAATACAATTGAAAAATCGTGAAGTAACTTGACTTGAAATCTTTGGATTTTTAATTTTTCTTTCATTTTATGTGTTCCATTTTCAATATTTTGCTCAATTTTGTATTTCATTGTCATTTATTTTCAGGGATTTTGTTGCTTAATATAATTGTTATTTTCAGCTATCATTTTTAATTTTAATTTGTTTTTTCAGGAATTTCAAATCATTGTATATCATATTATTCAGCGGAAGTCCGAACTGATGAAATTTAAAGCATTGTAAGCCTGATAGAATGTTCTCGTTATCAAAATTTGTCAGGTTTTCAAACATTTTTTGGTGTTGTTGGCAGACAAGTTTCTCGAACACTGATTCAATTTGATGCGATATACCGGACTTATGAAAATCTAAATGAGTAGTACAATTTATCGGGTCTACCAGCTTTGATTATGGTATTAAATCCGAAATATATAAAATAATACTATATAAATGAATACGTTTTTTGTGATACTGATTTTTGTAAAGTAGCTGAAAAGTTTCTGAAACTTAATAAGAAATATGTCTATTTATTCATCTCGATTATTGCAAAAAAAAATTAAAATTAGAATCCCATATTGAAAAAATGAAACCACTACAAGGTCATCAAGTATCTAACCTCCTCCCTGGAAAATAAAAGCTATGGTTGTTAACACTCAGTGTTAACCTTAATCTTTTATGTACATATTTCACATTAATTTTATTATATTTTCTATGAACAATGATCATTTTCGAGTCATTTCGTGTTACATGTGAATTCATTCCACGATTAACGGAAAAACAGATTTTAAACAGAATCGAACACCCAGTAAAAGAGCGCCGTCCGCGAAGCTCGAGAAAAGGCCAGTACAAAATATGTATCTCATGGTGTGTACACTACTACAACGTATCCCGACGTGACGTTTAGTGCTTCTCACTCCTTTCAATATCACCAAAAAACAATTTTACTGTGTCATCTTCAACCAACAAAAACTACAGTCCACTTTTCCGGCGAATCGAAGATCGCCCAGTAAAGAAAAACCACGAAAAACGGGACAAAAAGAAAATATGTAGGTAGGTGCGATTTATCTTGTTTTGATGGGGTTATCATATCAATTCCAATATTTCAATGTTCAACGAACAATAGTAAACGGAGACAACAATGTTTAACTCTATTTATTTGTATCTACACAAAACCTTAGATTGGGCAAAATAGCATACTTTCAAAAGGCAATTCCTTAAACATGTTACCTTAAACAACAAATAAATTTAATTAGATCACAAACGAAAATTTACAGAAATGTGTTGGAGACAAGCAGTTGAAAATTTTAAATAAATCTTGTTTTCTTCTATTATAAAGACACTATACTATATCAATATGTATTTATTAAAGCAAACCTTCAGAAAAGTCACCCCCACAATGAAACAGGAACAGATAAAACTCAATAATAGATATTTGTTTCTTATAATGTCTATAATTAGACTACTTTCATTCGCCGAACTTTCACTTTATCCTTTTCTTTTACTTTAAGTTGTCACAATGTAAATGAACGGAAGCGTTCGTAAGCCATCCTTCAAAGTAAAAGTGCGGTGAATGAATACTCCTTTGTTTTCTGATTGATTCGACTGTTACTTGATGAAGATCCATAGAATTTTCATAAACTACATCTCAAGATTTGATCTCCACAAACTTCATTTTTGAAAAATATCACGACATGTGAATTACGTACATAATTTACTATGAAAAAGCTACTGTGTTAGCGAAACATTTGATATTTTTAAACAATAAAGTTTGTGGAGATCAAATCGTAATGTGTAGTTTATGAAAACATATACTCCCTTCGAATAACATTGTGACAACTTCCTTAAAGTAAAAATAAAAGTTTGCTAAACAGCTGTTATTTGCCATTATGAAATATCCCCAACCACTTTGCTGATGACACTTATTTAATAACTGCAAATAATATGAAAAATAACGTATCAAATTCCCTAAACGTACTAAAAAATTGGTTTTGAAATGAATAATATGCAAATCAATATTAATAAAACTCAACTCATGAAGTTTTCTAATACGCAGCAGAATGACACTTTTTCGCTACTCCATGATGGAGATGAAATTACAGCTGCTCCATATTCAAAATTATTAGGAACCACAATACATCCTAGACTAGATATACATACTTCTAATCTCGTGTGATATAGAATTGTTTTTTGGGCAAATTCTACGGATGCCACAGAATTTTGGTAATCTAAAAAAGGTGTTTAAGAAGCATACTGAGTATGAAACAAGTCGATAGCTGCAAAAATATATTCCCAAAGGTAAATATACTTACCCTAGTTGGATTTTATACAGGATGACAATTTGAAAACTTACAATGGCTATATCTAAGTAACCAAATGAAGTACAAGAAATCGCTGAAAATAACTTCCATAATAGGGAAGGGGAAACAAAATGATGTGCCACACCAACTTCATAGTCTTAAATAGTTAAATAGCAACCTCCTACTTGTGACACCTTATCGAAAAGCTCTTAAGAAATGCTCTTCATTGGTGCCCTACAAAACTACATTTGAAGTAGTAGTTCTTGGTTTATTTAATAAAACACTATTCATTCAAATAAAATTTTATCTTCTATTAATAATTTGAGAAATGCTCAAAATGATTTCCATTATTTTTAAGACAATATTAGAGTCTATTTTCAAACTCTTGACGTATATTAGAAAATCTTTCTCTGGACATAGCTCGGCATTCTTGGAATATTCTTTCCATCAGTTGCTCCACTGGGTCAGGTTGCGTCTAGAACTCTGGGGCTTTAAGGTGGCCCCAGAGGAAGAAATCAAGGAGATATGTTCGGGGATCTAGGAGGTCATTCCATAAGACCTCTTCTTCCAATCCATTGTTTAGCATAATTATTATCTAACTGGAAGTACATTATGAGGAGATGCCCCATCCAAAATGTACTAAATTTTCTTCTAAAGATAAATTGTGTATGTTTCTCTGATTCTCTAATTCATGAACTATCCGAGGTTCAATAGATCTTTCTAGCATGTGGGCATACATTTTGCCATTTAAATTTCCTTCTATGAATGATGGACCAATTATTGCATTTCCCAATACACCAGCCCAAACACTATTTTTTTCGGGGTATTGCGAAGGCCCTTCTCTGAATAGTCGTGGGTTTTTGTCACTCTAGTAATAACAGTTTTGTTTATTTGTGACAGTACCAGTTTTTTGAAATGTTGCTACTAGTTGGTGAATGTACACGTGAATGTACACGATTTACATTTCTCTCTGTGTGACTCTGGTTAAATACTTTAGTTGTTATTAACAAATACTGATCTACCATAAATAAAAATCATTTCCACATGTTCAGCTGTGTTGTACACCATAGTTGCAGATAAAAATTATGTTTCTCGTCTACAATGTATTGAAATAAAAATCAAATGTATATTAAGAATGAGAGTCCCGTTACCCGTTCTAAAGTAAAAAATGCAATACTAAAGTACCTCTCAAAAATTAATATTTCAAACACCTTTTTTTTTGGAAAATCTTGTCAATGCTCTGTACCTGGCAAATAAAAAAAAAACTTAATCGTCAAGGAGTGGAAATTCAAATCCTGTTTTGTTTCAATATTTGAGAAATTTAATTTTGAAATATTTTGTGACTGATAAATAAGGTTCATTTAAACCTCGACTTGAGCTCACCTTTAAGATAACCATGTCCAGCACAGGTCTCTCTGCTTTCCTGAATAGCATCCCTCATTAACCAACCGGCCATTGGTTTACTAGAAGAAGAAACACCATGAATTTCTATACCCATCTCAGGAGCATCTGGTCTCACATTTCCAGTCATTGTTTCAATCATGAACTCAAAAAATTGTTCTGATAAATAGTCATTAAAATTCCTCAGAACATATGCAGCAGCCAGATAAGGTATGAGGCGTAGACACTGAAATTGAAAAAGTTGTTTAGTTTTTTTGTTATTATTGCATTTACTAGGGAGGTATTATTATTCTTTCTACTTCTCCATATACAGTGCTTTTCTTTAATGCCCCTTCTTTTATTTTTTGAACGGGTCAACTCAAAAAATTGAAATTTGGGATAATGAAATTAATGACATGACGTGAAATTGATAGATGGTTGCCTTGAACTTCTTGATATTTCACGCCGAACATTTTCGAACACAGTAACGTCAATATCTCTACAAATATTTATTATTCTCTGCCGTATATCCAATATTGAATCAGGTTCAGTTTCGTACACCTTTTGCTTCAAATAGCCCCATAAAAAAAGTCCAAAGGTGTCAAATCTGGTGAGCGGACTGGCCATTCTGTAGGACCTCGACGGCCAATCCAACTACCGGGAAAAGTAGTATCCAAATAGTTTCTTACTTGTCTGGAGTAATGTGGCGGTGCTCCATCTTCTTGGCATACAATATCTTTATTGAATTCATCAGGATTCACTTCGACGATTTCAGTGATGAGAGGGTCAACAGTAGTTTCCAGCATATTCAAATACAGTTCCCCTGTTAAATTTTGATGAATAATTAGAGGTCCTACAATATGGTTTCCCAACATTCCTGCCCAATCGTTAATTTTTTCTGGATATTGGCTATGTGTTTTCCGGAAAACGTAAGGGTTGGTGTCACTCCAATAACGGCAATTTTGTCTGTGAGCATTGCCGTTTAGAAAAAATGTACACTCGTCACTAAAACAAATATTGTGGAGATAGATAGGATGCCTTACAATAGTTTCTGTCATGATTTTGCAGAATATTCTGTTCTTCGATCAGTGTCACTTTCAGTTAATTGGTTTACCATTTTAATTTTGTATGGATGATACATATTCCTCTTCAAAAGTCTCCACACAGTAGAAGGAGACATCACAAACATTCGCGACGGAATAAGTAGACTGTTCAGGATTTTCTACCATCTCACCAATTATTTGCACTTGCTGTTCTTCCAGCATGGACAGATGACCTTGGGGCTTTTTGTTATGTACACTACTGGTAGTTGTGAATTTGGATACAAGTTCCCTGAAATATTTTCTATAGATAGGACGATTCGGAAAATGTTCATTGAAAATCCTTTCAGTCTCGTGAAAGTTACGTGTCGCACCGTAAATAAAAATCACTTCAATTTTTTTCTTCCAATGGACGAGAGTTGACCATTTTAAAGATTGTTGACGTGGTACCTTTCTACTAGTAAAACCGAAAACTAAATAAGAATATTCTAACTAAACAATGATGTTCATTGTTGTACCAACATTTTTTGTTGTTTTTATAAACAAAAAATAACTTAACAAACCTTATCGGGTTGTTGGAATTCCATGTGGCAGATAAAAAGGAATATTTCTAGAAATATCGATATTTTAATGTATTGGTCTACAGGAAATTATTAAATGTTTCGCCATTTTGTAATAGGTGAAGATATTGACTTCTTATTCTAGGGTTGTGAAGTATTCGTCAGGAGCTTCAAAATGATGTGTCACAAGACCCCCCTTTCCATTCAATTTTTTCCCAGTCGCCATCTTGAAACTTTCATCTGTTAATTTCACTTCAAAATAAAGTATTCATGCATTAATTTCATTATCCCAAATTTCAATTTTTTGAGTTGACCTGTCCAAAAAATAAAAGGAGGGGGGGGCATTAAGGAAATGCACTGTATGTATGAAAAATAGGAAATTTCCTATGCACCGAAAACAATTAAAAAATACAATGTTTCTTTCAGATATAAACCGGAGGAAAAGTAATAACAAAAATTGTCAATTTTTGGAAAAATATTCAAGAATTTGAGCTGAAAACGCTTTTGCTCAAAACCAAGTTATACTTCATGGCAGGAAGTATTTTTTGTAAGTGAAATTTCACGTCAGTACTCTTTTATTCATAATGTTGTGTATCTATCTTTCCCAACGAATTTTGTTGAAAAAGGGAAGCAGTTGTACCAGATGAGCTTTTTCTTCCAGTTTTTATCTTGTGTATGATATTCACGTTTGTTAATTTTGTCTTTCTTTCTTCAGAAGTTTAGATGGATATTTTTACTATTCTTCATCAACTTACATGCGATTGATATTCCAAAATAGGTATTTCGTTTTCTCCTTCAGGCCCAAACTGTTTTCGAACTGCAGCATATCTCAGAGCTATTGTTAGTGCTTTGAGTCCAAGAGTTTCACAAATACAAGCAATGTTGACTCTACCAGCAGATAAAGACCCGAGAGCAGCACCATATCTTTTGTTAGGATCTTTTATTGACGTAACATAACGACCATCTTCAGATACATCAGCTATTCTGTTAAGAATATTTTCACGGGGTATTTCATAATTGTCAAACTTCAAAAAGCTGAAAATTTGCAAATTTGAAAATTAATTTTATTACACTATATGAGGCACTTTTATGTTAGTGCATTTCAAATTATAGAGATATTTTACTTTTTGACAAGTCTTACAAATTGTCACTATCGTTCCACCTCGAATATTACGGAAGATACGGGGGTGTTTCCATAAGAAGTGAGACAAATTCGGATTTTTCAGGACTGAAATTTTTTCAGGAAAATAGTGTATTCGTAGTGAGTTTGTAGTCCTAATTACGAATCTGAAGGAATTTTGAGCCTATGTTGCCCGTTAATATGTTTTACCGTAAAAATGGAGTGTTCAATCACGAGTGGCGGACAGTGTAGCATTTTGAGCATGTACATCAGTCCTGAGAGTTTCATCATTCTACCTCGAATATTACGGAAGATACGAGGGTGTTTCCATGAGAAGTGAGACACACTATATGTCAGACCACACAAACTAATCTATAATCAATTTGTCAGTTGCATTAAGAGTGGTGACTGATTTTTTAAATGCAAATGGAGGAAGATTTCTCATTTCTATAGGTATACAACTATAAATCTTGGCCATATTGTGGGAAAAAGATGACTTGAAAAGAGAATTTCAGATTTCCTTCATCTTTCCCGTTTGAAGTTGCGTCACTAGGTACAGAAGAATTACTAGTTTCTTCTTCTTCTTTTTCCCTGCTTCCTGCACAACCAGACTCTCTTATTTCGAGCTCTTTAAGATCTTGGGCAGTGTAAGCAGATACACCTCCGATGATAAGTTCGTGATTTCTGATGGTGGCTTCACGATTCTGTTCCCTTGCTCGTTTCAGATGAAATTTCAAAACAGACTGCTGTTCTCTATCTTCAGGATATATCTATCTTCAACTTATGAATGTTTGGGAAAATCAAAGATTTGTTCAAGAAAAAAAGGAACTCTATTATAATAATAGGGGGCTTTTCTGATTTCCCAGCAACAGATATATTGTTAATGAATAACTTTTGATGCAATGATTTTCAGGAAACAGGAAACAGGAAACATATTTTATGTAGTACTTTTTTCGAAAGATTGTGGTAACACTATTAGGAGCAGTATCACTATTGAAAAAAACGTAAATTCAACAATTTACGTTTCATTTATAAATCCACCGTATCCATAACACGCATCATCCCAAGTTGATACGATATCTTGACCAATTACATCAAGCACAAAATAATATATCTGTCCAAAGGTTTCGGTAAAACATAAAAATAGATAAGAGAGTACACATTTAATTTTCAAAACCTGGTAAACAATTTGCGACATATCTATTTGAAAGCGACTATATTGTAGGGTTATACAAGTTTAGAGAGGTGCCTAGATAATTTTCTAATCAGCACTTTGGAGAGTGATTGAGCTTTGTTCGAATTTTTTTTTCAAATTATGAAATCCTTTCGACTAGGAATTGACATTTCGAATCATTCATCAAATATATGGAATAACATTTCATAAAACCGAGCCGTTTTCTCTGACACATTTGTTTCAAAAACGTTTGGGTATATACTGTGCCATTAATAGATCAACATAACAGTTAGACTACCCTGTGAGATTTCGAAACTCCTACTATTGTACTTTAATTTGGGAGAATTGTGCCAAAGAGATTTGCTAGAGGCTATTTTGATATAAAATAATTCAGAATACTGAAAAGATATATGCTCAGGTGCATAAAAAACAGCAACTTTGCAATGTTAGCAAAAATTTTTTACTTGAATTATATTTATTTTCAGCCGGATTTAGATATTTTTTTTTAAATGCTGTCGAAATATTACTGGAGTTTTTTCCCAACACCAAACCGTTATTTAAACACCTTGACACGTATTTCGATGACCAAGTGCTCATCTTCAAGAGGAAGATTAAAGTAAATATACTTACAATGTTATCCTTATTTAAACCATAGATACCTCTTCTAGGTACCTTCGTCTTGAGTGTCTTAAATTAATTTCACAATATTGAAGTGAATTTCACAATCGTTGCCAGATTCCAGCCGTACATCTAAATAATATTCAAATAGATAACAACGGACCACATATTTGCAGTTGAGGCAACCACAACATTGTGGTCACGTTGACTGCACTTCGCGGTTGACCCAACCACATTTTTGTGGTCGACTTGCGTTCATATAAACCGCGTTTGCAGTTGAGGCAAAAATGTAATGCTGTGAGACCAATATGAGAAAAAGTACACCACGGTGTACGCGGTTGGGTACGACTGCAGGTGTGTGGTTAGCGTACGGAGGATGCCGCGATGACATCTCGGCGGAGATCAGCAGCAAGTTGACTGCAGACGTCCGTTTTGACTTTTGTGAACGCCCGTGTACGTGTAGTACTGTATTTCTTATGAGCGGCTTGAGTTCGCTGGAACGCGACTGCAATTGTGTGGTCGATCCGACCGCACTGAAAACCTGATACGGTCTGCAGCGGGGCAGACACAAAGTATATGTTTTGCAGTTTCATCATTTTCCAAACAGAAGCGACATACAGTCTTCCGACAGTATGATTCAGACGACATAAATCTGTGAGAAGGCCTGTTAGAGATCATAGTTCATCCCTACTGTAGTCAAACAACTGTTTGGTCTCAAGCTTCAAAGCTTCAAAGCTCAAGCTTCAAAGGGCTTCAAGGCTTCAAGGTCCGTGACTTTGAGAGAGAAGAAATTGGAGCATTTCTCTTTAGGGCGGCTGCCTGAGCAGCTGATGAACTCGGTTTAGTTTTCGACACTAAACGAGGTGATCACAACTCTGTCACCGAGTTGCAACCCGTTCAGCAAAAAGTTCATATAAAAGCCGCAGTGATCACCTCACTTCTGCAGAAACACAAGGATGAGCCAGTGCATGGGGTCTTCTTCAATAACATTGAAGACTTTGGCTTATCAATGCGCCTAAATTTCGCTTTCCGCAGGTCGAGTGGGCTGAAGTCGGAAACTGGGGGGTTCATCATGGCTTGCCAGGATGGTATTTTCAACACCTTAGTCTACCGCAGTCGCGTGATTGGTATAGATGTTCCTGACACAAGGTGCAGGGTCTGCCGCGAGGCGTCCGATACCCTAATACACTTGCTATCAACATGTCCAGCATATGCGGTATCTACAGCACTCTTACGGTATTGACGAGACACTGGTGTTGCCCTTCGCTCCGGGGGATATTGAATCCGTTGTAGGGAACGAGAAGTGCCGAATTTATTGTAACTATTCGTTCCCCACCATCAGGCTCATACAAGCTAATAAGTCCTTCTCGACCACCAGAGCAAGACGATATTTGTCATGGAGTTTTCAGCTCCAGTCGAGACGAATATCGTCCAAAAAGAGGAGGAAAAACGGATAAAATATCGAGATTTCCTTTTCGAACTCCGTACAGACTCTATCCAGACCAGTCTGTCAAGATGGTTGTTCTGATTATTGGAGTCCATGGTAGAATGATGCCCACTCTACTCTAGAATCTTAAAATCATACCGGCTTGCTACACTAAGACAGAAATCTTAGCCGGACAGATGCAGAAGGCTGCCATTCTTGGTTCACTGAGCTTGCTCAGGGGACTTAGTTCTCGGACCCAATGATCACTTACCCCACGGTGTGGAGAGTGGTCGTTAGTTTATAATGCTGGCGCGCCCTCCTAATGTATCGGGGCTTCTGGGGATGGGGCCTGACCAGCGCATACTACGGTAAACAAAATAATAATAATGGTTTTTATTGGGTGTAATGGGATATAACAACTAAAAGGCGAAGTTCATTTATCTAGTCCATCTAGTCTCTCTCTCCAGAAAAATGTGGAGAGGAGGTAGACCTAGAAGGATCTACATAGTCGCTGACGGTGTAGTACTGATGGCAACCCAAGCCTGCATCTCTTTGTGAGTCAGATAGCTTCCCCTGAGTCATTTTCTGTAAAGCCTTCGGCCACCAGGCAGTTGCTCTTTAAGGGGATTATCACATTTTTGCTGGGGTTGACTGACATACAACTACAAAAAGGTATTTTGAGATTTGTTATGTCAAATTATACAACAACATTGAATGTTCATAATCAATACTACATTTTTCACTTTTTACCCAACTCAATTATGTACGCCTATGGAACAGGTACTTGAACATAATTTCCTATTCCTTTGCTTAAGGAAATGTACTATTTTTTATGCACTTCATGGTATGGGTGATGTCACTCTATATTCAATATGGCGGACTATGTTTTCTATGATGATATGATGTCAAATGAACGGGTTGAAGGCAAAAAACTCAAAATGCCAATACCAATTTAAAGAGTTTTATCTCGGTATATGTTAGGGATAGTTTGGTGGTGCCGACCATGCAACAATAACACGCGAATATGATATGTACCTTGATCTCAACCTAATTTATTATCCTCACGACAAGCTTTAATATCATAAAAAATTTGAAATGCAACAAATTTATTGTTTGATTCAATTTAAAGTGTATTTTTTCTTTTCAGAGCTTGTAAATGAAAGGTTGTACTTAAACATTATTTAAACAGAGGGTAATCCTGGCCTGGCTGGTTCTAAGTATTGATAATCCAAACATAATTAGTAGTTATCATTTGAATAATTTATTCAATTTTCAACAAGGTGAACAGCATTGACTATAGTGGATAAACTGGAATTTCATAAACTACAACGGTTACAAAATCAATACCTTCATACATAGAATATAATTAGTAATTGGTACGTGAGTTATCAATGAATGGCATTTTTTTCAAAGTAAAAAAGCAGAGAATACTAGGAATGTAATAAACCACCCTGGCAACACTGGAAAGACAAACTGAATAAAGGAGATTGAAGTCCTCAAGTATATGAAATCACTAAATGGGTAAAATTTGTCTTGTAAAATTTCATGAACAAACACTACCAGGGCATTATAAAACAATGTTGTCTGTTAGTAAACATATAATACCGGAGTTGTGTCCATTAAGAAATTTCAAAGACATAGTAAGACAAATATTCTGATGTAATTAGTTCGAGTCCTTTCTTTACGGTGATAATTTTAATTCTTGCAGTTGTATTATTCATGTTACTAATATGGAAACATTTTATCTTTGCAGTGTTCTGAAGATGCAAATAAATTTTCCAAAACGTAAAAGGATCAGAAAAACTGGTTTTCCTTTAGATATCGGTACTTTCTCAAATTCATATCATTCATATCATTACTACTTATCTCATTTTGCACTTTTATAGTTACAATCCTTTCTAGTCGCAAGATAAATCAAATAAAAAAAAGGTTAAGTTCAAGGTCAAGTTGTTATTTGTGCTACCAAAAATTCACGAAATATGTTGCAAGTTAATTTTATTGATATTCTGCACAAATATTGTTGGTAATTATAAATTTCATAAAAGGATTTGAAGGTCAGACCCCTTCTCCGAAAATTGAAACTTATTAGATCATTTTTATTGTTCAGAGAATGTAAACTTCAAGATCTAAGGTAACTATTTCAAAGTTTCTTTGTAGGTCTGCCGACTGTGGTCTGTAGTTCTCAAGTCTGACACTTCACCGAAGGTGAAGAAGAAAACTACCTGATCTGCAAAACATGTAGTATGTGCAGCCTTTGTCTACCGCAATTGCAGACGAAATGTTGGGCACAAAAACCTGTAGACCACGGCCAGTGCGTTACTGTTGTGTTTTGTTTTTCTTATTTATACAATATACCTACCCATTATCTATTCCATTCAAACCAAGTTTTTCTCCCATATCCCCGACAACCAAACCAGGGTAAGGTAAAAGAGTATTTGGATTGCGTATTGGTACAACGAAAGCATGTAATCCTAGGTTTTTTCCGTCAAGAATAAGCTGAGCGTAAACAGTACCATAACTTGCAATTTGACCCAAACCCCCAGCCCAACATTTGGCTGCTTCAAAATCGGGAGAATTCAGTATAAACACTTTTTTCTGTTTGTCATAAGTTGCTGTTGTACGCATACCTCTTGCATTGCTACCATGACCAATTTCAGTTAAACAGTAGCAGCCAAATATCTAAAATATAAAATGGAATGTTTACGTGTGAATATAAAGCCAAGGTTTGGGAATAATAAAGACATCGCAAGTCTATAAGTTAAGGCATCCTCTAATTTCACAACTCACATCAACAATTTTCAATTCAGATAATAACATACCTTTCCATTATTGGAATCATCAATGTATTTTGAGTGTCTGCTTGTCCCCATATTCATTATCGAAGAAGTGAACAGTTTATCGCCAACAGTAGACTTGATAAATGATGCCGGATTCAATGATACCATAATTCTAGTGATAGTATTATTTCGCTTCAAATCTGAAAGCTGACGTTCCAATGAGAAAATCTTCAGTGTTTTCAGTGCCAATGCTTGTTTAAATGCAAGGTATCGTTCGTCATCAAATGTCCTGGAAGAGTTATTTGTAGAATAATCTGGATCGCTTTGCAAAACTTCATATACCTCATTCTGAAAAAAAAACATTTTAATTCATCTGTATAGTAGAAACTGAAAAGGGGATTCAAATTGTACTTTCCCATTAACAGCGCGCAGAACCGCGGAACCCTTGTACGATCCCAGGGTTCCGCAGACCACCATTTAGGAATCTAGGATCTACATTATGGTACATGATATCTGCTTTAGGTAGTCCCAGTGTGATTTTATAATGCATAGAGATTACAATAACAAGTGACTATATTTTTCTCCCTCATTTTCTCTCTACATTTGGACCACTTAAACTTTTCGATTCCACCCAGAATATCGATTTTTATCACCAAATTGTCCAACCAGAGCGCTTTTCCACTGACAATTCATTTTTGTATCTTTAGTGATTCTATGCATGACTTGGTGTAAGAAGGAACTCCTAGGCGTCTTGCTCTGCATAATCCATGAATTGAGAGCCAAATTTTTGGATTTGGATAGTAGTTACTAGAAACACTTGTATTGATACCTTTCATGTAGACATATTTTCTTGAATACTCCATCAACCATCAAATGTTTGATAACATTAACACTGTTGGTTAAAAAACATATTACCAATACCAAGCAGACTTAAATAGTCACCCTATTAACTTTTGAATAGGACATATGTCAAAGTCGGACAAAATTCACATAAAAAGGTATTATTTTTAGTCCTTTTTGATAAGAACAACAATAGTGTTGCATTATTCGTAACCGAGAGGACGTTTCCAACTTTTTTTCAAATGGAAAGAAGTGTTGTTGAATAATTCGTTTGATAGATATTTCAATTTTCTATCCAAGACTTTATTTTTGGAAATCGAATCAGTCATGCCTAACGTGACCATACGTCCCGCTTTGGACGGGACAGTCCCCCTTTCAGGCAGTCTGTCTCGGTGTCCCCAGCGAGGCCGCCATAGTCCCGCTTTTGCAAACTGATAATTTGAAATGTATTTTTCCTACTCAAAATGCATGACGGAGGCCCCGCACTAGAAGGCAGATTACGAGCGAGCGCGCCCGAAGCGCTAACGATCTGAGCAGGATAGATACACCCAACTCAGAATTGTGGTTATATTTTTTGAACGCCCAAGCAGCCACCTTTCATTTAGCTATGTTGAAAATCGAAGGGCAAAATGTGTCGGCCATAGAGTCTGACAAGAAAATTAATAATCTCCGAGATAACCTGGCACTAAAAGAGAATACGATTTTCCTTCCTCACATCGTCCGTAACCTACTTGTAAAATTACAAGAAAGAGAAGCTGCTGTTGACCAGAAGAATGTAGAAACTGCGGCGGCTGAGTTTTATAAAACAAGTAAAGAATACTCGAATCAGTGGTGTCAGTTCAACACAGAACTAGAAGTGTTTGAATGGGAAAATTTAACAAAAGTGCATAATGGGAAGAGCTCCAGAAAATGCTGAATTTAGGTTAGGTTGAAAGTGAGTTGGTCTATTCGACCCTCCACCGCAACCCGCAAGGGTTCGTTGTGGCTCACACCTATTCACACTCGACCAAATAAACCTAGCTTCCTAGCGAAGCCGATTAGTTTGTATAGTGAGTGGTCTTTCAGATCAGATAGTAAGAGTACGGCTCTGCCGAACTCTAAAAACCTGATTCGGTCCCCAGCGGGGCAGGCACAAAGTATGTTCCCTGCTGTTTCATCGTTTTCCCAACAGAGGCGACACACACTGTCTTCCGACAGCCCAAGTCTCTGCATGTGATGATTCAAATGACAGTGACCTGTAAGAAGGTCTGTTAGACATCATAGTTCATCCCTACTGTAGTCCAACAACTGTTTGGTATCAAGCTTTGAAGGACTGGAGTGAGCCAGTTCCGAAAGATTCTGCCAGAATTCCATAAACCTTCTTGTTCAATCTTTGTTTGGCAAAGCCTAAAACGATGCCAATGACAGGTTCTGGTCCGATGAAGCTGTTTGCAGCGCCCTTCTTTGCAAGGGAGTCAGCAGCCTATCGAGGAGAGTCGTTTTTGACAACTTGCTACCAATTTAGACGTTGCTCGGTAAGAGTCAACACCTTCCATAGTAACGGCCACATCCATCAAGGTATCAACTATTTTGTGTTTAGTGCTTTGATTATTTTGTGTTAGTTTATCTTCTATAATGAAAAAACTTGTAAAACACTAGAAACATTTTTTATCATGTAATTTCGCAGATATCCCGCTCTGGCAAAAAAAATAAATGGTCACGTTAGTCATGCCTGAGTAATTATCAGTTTTATATTAGTTTACAGAATTTGCCTTTAAATGGTAAATATCATAATTTCAAGATAACATGTATTCAAAACTCACTCCAGTTCATTTCAATAAATGTTTAACATGTTCACCGTTCAATTCCTGACAATAATGAGATTGATTTACAAATTCATTTCTCACATTATGGGATTTTTCCTGAGTAATTTCGTTAGGATCATCTCCTCTTCTAACTATAAGTTCTGGAACAGACAGCAGTCGTGTAATGTAAACTTTAGAATCCATGATTCCCCACAAAAAATTCTAAGGACGCCATAACAGTTTCTAGCATGTCTTCACACACGCGCGCACTCCCACACACGCGCACACATGTTGGGGGGTTATACAGTGCATTCCATTTGAAACGAGCCACTCTGAATAACTTTTGGAATAATGAATTCCAGGAAAAATAAAAAAACACCTCAACAATAGTATACAGGGGGACACATTTTGACATATTCATATTCGATCGCACCCTTAGAGAGATCAATTGTTTTGCATTATCAGATGTTCCATGATGAACATATTTCAACAAAGTAGAATACCTACATTATGGTCTGAAGCTCATAGTTTGGAAGCTACAAATTATTTGAGTTGAAAACGAGCCATCCTGAATGAACTTCTGTACAATATATTACCTTAGTTTCATAGATGCTCTAATTTTGCCTTGTTAAGTTTGAATTAGAGATTCTCTTCATTTTGTATTTGTCTCATTTAACAATAACGATTACCTACCAGCTGAAGTTACAATTGGTGTTTCTGTTTTTTTGTGAATTCTTGAGAAGCAATGGTTTATAAGCTTCGAGAACGAATTGAAATAGCGAGTTTGTACTACCAGAATGAAAATAGTGCTAGAGCTGCTACCCTTATGTTCAATGATAATCATCCAGGAAGAAATGTACGGCACGAATACGTTTCGGAATTATTGAACAAATTTATGGAAACTGGATCTGTTAACAATAAAAAGCATAACCGTTCAGGAGTCAACGATGAAGCTATTTGTACTGCAGTTTTAGGACACGTTGGACTAATGGAAAATTCGCCATCTCTTACCGAGTTATCTTGAGAATCAGTCATACAAATGATTTCAGGATCCTTCATAACTACAAATCTTATCCATATTAGACTTTCTTGTATGAAATTTGTTTTTCGGATGAATGTACGTTTAGTTTGAATGGAGAGGTGAATCGGCAAAATTGTCGATATTGGAGTGATACGAATCCTCATTTATACCGTCAAGTTCATACACAACGACCTCAAAAATTGAATGTTTGGGTAGGGAATTTGATGTAATAATACCGTACATCAATAGGGCAATTTCATTATGCATTATGCAGGGCATTATGCAGCTCCAATGCGACAATTTTTGGGTGATCATTTTCCTGGTCGCTGGATTGGTTGAAGAGGTCCTATAGAGTGGCCACCAAGATCTCAGGATCTCACTCCTCCTGATTTTTTTCTATGGGGTCATTTGAAGTCTAAAGTGTATTAGATAGAATCAACAACATTAGAAGAATTGAGAGAGAATATCATAAGGCATTCAGAAAAATACCTAGAAAATGTTTAAGTTCTTTTCATTTCATTTCGAATATCTCCAGTAATTTCTCGATTATATAATTTACACTCTGCAAATCAATTCTAGCAATTAAAATGTCGTCAACATACAGAAGTATATATAATTTGCCATGCTTGACATTTAAGGTGTAGAGACAGAAATCATTTTCAGATCTAGTGAACCCCAGTTCATTTAAACAATTATTAATTTCATTGTTCCAACATCTTGACGATTGTTTAAGCCCATACAAGGATAATTTTTAATTTTTATACCTTTCCGTTATTAATTTTGAAACCTTTCGGTGGGTAAATATAAACTTCATTAGAGGTGACCAACTCTTCCCTTGCTACTCGTGGGAACACACATGAATGAAACAACAAAAACCAATTCCGAGGATGGACAGAAGTGCTCACCTCAATCTAAGGTGGTGGCTGGGGATGAACAGAAATGTCCACCCAATCTACCGATTGGAATGAGGCTGAACATAGCAGATCATCTCCAACAGCAAGGGCACTTCCTGCGGTGCCAAGAGCTCCGCCTTGAATAAAGGCAAGGAACCGGCTGCCCCAGCAGAAAAGCTCCCTCACTTGTGCACCTCCACGGAGGGAACCCCAATAAGGTTGAAGAAGCCGCGCAACGACAGTAATATCGCTGCATGTTCCAAAACCTTCACGGAGGCCAGCGTGAGACACCTCAAGGTTGCCAAAGAGACACTCTCTTTGGCAACCTTGTTCGGCGAGTCTTGGCTTACACCTGCCAATATAAAGGAGATGTCTTCTAGTGACCTGGTCACCTTTCTGGAAAGGACAGGATGGACGATGACCTAGGAGAACAACATTTCGGGAGGATGTACAATGGGTCAATGTGGCCTAATTACATTCGAAGTC